CTAACAATAAAGATTGAATGGCAAAAGAACAGTGTTAAGGAAGATTTCATTTATTTTCATTATCTTTTTCCAGATAAATGGATATCATTCAACCTAAAAATAAACATTCCATAGCAAAAGAACTGTGTTAACCAAGATTTCATTCATTTCCCTCATCATTTTCTAAGTGAGTTGTTCATATCCAACCTTGGTATGAACATCTTATTGTAAAAGAACACTGTTAATTAACATATTCATCTGTTAGTTTTCCTTCTAAATAAGGCAACAAAATCGGACTCATCAGTAATGATCACATATCGAATGAATGCATTAGCAAGTATTTAATTCAATTTATTTGGTCTGCTCAAAGGAAATATTTGGTAATTAAACTAGCAGCGATGACTGCATGTTAAATGAATAATGCTGAGAAATATTTTATCCTTATCTTTCGATTACCGCGACATAGAATTGCTGTATGGAACCTATAAACAAAAATCAAATGACAAATGAATATTTCTCATAGTTACATCGTTCACTTATTGCGATAGCTTGCTCTAACAGTTTATTATAAGAGTGAGGAGCAAAGATCGAATTGTAAATAAACGAAACAACAAGGATTTCATTCAAATCAGTCATTTTAGTCGAAATAAAGATAAGGTTCCGAATTGCTGCACTGTGACTTAGTGGTAAATAAATATCGCTAAGGATTATATTCATTTTTTTCATGTGATTCGTATGAGAGTATTGATAATGAATTAATGAATAATGAAAGCATGATAATTAAAGAATGCTAACCATAATCTCGCCCATCTTTTCCAAGTCTGCCTAAGCAGAGAGTCAAAGTTGAACCTATGGGATCTGATTACATATTTAATGAATATTGACAACGAAGTGCGCATTCATGTATTTCATATACTTCAAAACAAAGTTATGATGTTAAATCTTAGAGTTATGATCCAATGGTAAACAAATAGTAACAAGGAAAATTACATTTATGTCATATGTTGCTAAACGAATGGCTATTATCGAAACTATGAAAAAGATCAAATGATGCATGAATATTGCCCAGGAATCTTGTATTCCTTTATTTCATCATTTTCTTACCATATGAACAATGTTTGGCGTATTTTTTAGCGACTACAGTGAGTATGAATATTTCCAACTAAGTTCATATTCATTTCTCCCATCATCAATCAAGGTAAAAGTAATGTTGAACTTATTGGTTGTTGCTATATATCACAAGTGAATATATGAGCAATAGTTTTATTCAAATAAACCATATCGATGAAATCGATGCCCGATGTTAATACTGTGAGAGATATATATGGTAAAGAAATATTGCCGACCAAGGTTGTATTCAAGTCTTTCATCAACTTTCAAACAGAGAAAACAACGTTAAACCTATGAGCAAGTACTATATCAAAAGTAACTATATCAACAGCCATATTGTTCTTCAATACACCAGTAGTGTTTAGAGTCATTATGTGTTATCGAAAATATTAGTGTTGACAACATGAAAAAAGAATATCATCAACCAAGAATGCATTCATCCTTTTCACTTAACTCCTCATAGAGAGTGAACGATGAGCTTACGACTCATTCTATCGTAAAAAGCGAATACATTAGCAGTAGGCATATCTTTTTCCGATAAGATCATCTTTTCTAAAATAGGTGCAGAGCGTTAGAGCTACCAAGAAAGTTCTCACGGCAAACGAATACTGCAAAGGAAACCATTATTCATCTATGTCCTCGACTTGTAAGTTGATCGATAATAATGAATCTATAAGTAATTATGATATGATGATTGAATATTTCCAACAATTTTTGCATACTGTACATAAATTTTATTGGCTTCTAAAGAGAGGAAATACATCAAATCTATGATCAAGGATGACATGAGTAGTGAATAATATTAAGGATCAAGGACGTTGTATATTCATTTATTTGATTCTCTTTATCTCCTACATCATTATACAGCAAAATATTGAATGATGATAGAAATGAATGATAAGTACGTTTCTCCATCAGCTTGTCGAAAAAATGACGCAGAAGTACATCTCGTTCTTGAAAGACATCATCATTATCATTATCTAAATAGTATTTTGCCGATCGAGCGGCGCAAACGATGATCATCATAGCAAGAAACACAACTGCAATCTTCATTGTTCGCATTGTAAAGGTATTCACTTGTATGTGGTTAATATTGGTATTGAATTGGTTGTCGTTGAGTTACTATGTATGATAGAATGTATCAATCTCTATATACTTATACCTTTCGTTTAAGAGCAAAAATACAATCATCATTTGAAGTAAATCAAGCATATCGGTGAAAATGCCCTGTAAACATACTAAATGGTAAATCATTTTTTCTTTTAGTGTCGGCAAGCAGACACGATGGGTATTCCTACCTAGCGACAGAGAAAAAAGAAAAAAAAAACGTTGTGTTAATGATGACTATAATACGCTGAATACTTAGCCTTGTGCATGTGTCAGTCATCATTATGAATAAGAGTGATTTGCAATATAAATTTGTCTCAAATATTATTTGTGTCCCAAGGACATGATTGAAAAAAAATAAATAAGCAGACAGAAAAATGATGCGTAACGCATTACACTATCAACGTTTTCATTTTCTTCACCACTCCTATAGGTCTGATCAGGTTGGTTGTAAAAATGTCGAAAAAAATATCGACGAAAAACATGATCGAAAGATACAGTGAGGGCTCAAAAAAGCATGTACATTTTTGTTTTTACGCATGAATGAATAACAAGGATACTCTGAAAACTACATTAAAACCTCACTAAATTCGTTGCTTTCCAAATAGTAATTATAGAATTTTGTTCAGTTTTTAATGCTCTTTCATATGAAAGAGTTGAAATTTAAAAAGGAATCAAAATTTGATTAATTAATTGCTAATTATTATTAAGTATTAATTAACTGCAATATAAGTATAAGTACTTGTTACCAAAATGTAGCCCATTAAATTCTGCGTCGAATGATATATAGAACATCTTTCAGATGTTGTGAAATAATGTAAAAATTAGCCAAATACTAAAAGTGTGCTAAACTTTTTTTTCCTACTTTATATTACAGTGTTTAGTATTTTGACTATAACATCATCATTACTCAATGAAAATCAAAAACCTTTTCTACCAAAATAATCAGCGAAAAAAGCTCTACAAAATCTGATATGAGGGAAAATTTTCAGAATATCTTTATTATTCGTTCATGCGTAGAAACAAAAATGTACATGCTTTTTTGAGCCCTCACTGTATGTTGTACATTAAATGAGAATAATTTTATAGATCTTATTCGAAGATACAATACATAACAAACATATAAATATAGCATCGTTTAAAACATAATGGTTTGTCTCAATAAAAAAAGAAAAGAAAATTCTTTATAATAATTGTTTTCTATTTTTTTCAAATTCGACTATTTCATTAATCATTCTATTTGAACATACATTCTTTTTATTTTATTCAATTAAATTTCATAACTTACAACTTGAAATAAAGCTAAATAACCATTAAGAACATTATCAAAATTAATTCGTGAATTTTCCCATGTAAAATTTTTATTTAAACAATCAATTATATTCTTAATATTTTCTGATATATTAACACGATCATGTGTACCAACATAAACACATTTATAAAATTTTCCACCAAATAATTGTACCCCCATTATTGAAAATATTAACCAAAATACAAGACAAACAAGTAAAGCATTAAATATCGATGGTATAGCAAAAATAATGCATTAACAACAACCTATTTAAAAACCAAAAACGACCAAATTAAAAAAAAACAGAAATTCAATTAATAATTTTCATACTCGAATGCCTTCAAATCTTGATAGTGCTTTTAATGGACGTAAAGCTCGTAATGTTCTCATAGATTTAAATGCTGGAATATCAGCTACATCAAATAAATCAAGAACAGTTCCAAGTACACTAACAACAACAATAATAAAATCTAATTTATTCCAACCATTTTTCAAATAATTTGTTATGCCATATGCAAACCATTTTAATATTAATTCAGTTGTAAAAATAACTGTAAACATTTTATCAAATATAGCTAAAACATATGAAAATGTTGGTTGTTGTCGTGTATTTATATCTTCTAAAGCCTTTGTAGAAAGAAAAAATCAAAGGTTATTTTCGAATTGATTCTTTTTTTTTTCTTTTTATTATCTTAACTTACTAAAGTTGTACTACTGGCTAAGTCTTTCAAAGATGATTGCGAATATTTACCGTGATTATTACTTTGAGATGAATCAATAGTGTGATTAGATTTATGATTATCATTGTTGTTGGTTTCTTTACCTATTACACGACAATAATAGATACGGATGTTTTAATTGTACCATGTTATGAGCTGAAAATTGTTTTACTATTATTAATATTATCGTTGTAAATTATTGACGAATTATTCATTGTAAAAATATGTTCAACTTAACGAGAACAACTATTAGATTGATGAAAAACTATGTTATCTATGAATTACAAGTCATAGGAGAATGAATGCTTTGGGTGATGTGGGTGTGGGTGGGTGTGGGTGTGGGATGTGGGTGGGGTGTGGGTGTGGGTGTGGGTGTGGGTAAGGGTGAGGATCTGGTTTATACGCTTGACCTATAACCACATCCGCACCCACCCACACCCACCCACACCCACACCCACCCACACCCCACACCCCACACCCACACCCACACCCCACACCCACACCAACTCACACCCACACCCACACCCATCAATGATATTAACATAATGTTTACCCTCAGATTGCAACGAATGAACAAGATCTGGAAGACCATTGAAATGTGTTTGATCATAAGTAAAATCAAGATGAGATGACATTGCATCAATATCTGTCCATTGAGCATCGTATGGGAATTCGGCATCATGCATTCGCTAATAAAATGGATAAATGATAAAATACACAGTTTTTTTTGTTTAAGTTTCAAGAATAGTACTTGAATAACGGCTCGTAATCTGTCAATATTATTGTATCCATAACGACATAGATGAAAACCAAGAGACCAGTAAGGTGGCATTGTAGGCTTCTAAAATTACTAGAATAAAAGAAATCAAATTATCTCTTGCTTTGTTTTACTCCGATCCCATCCCAATATTGTTGAATGACATCTTGAGCTGAAGGTCCAGTAAATAAATACAAATCAATGATACCTCCAATTGTTGTATAAGTAATGGCAGGTAATGGTTGAAGATCAATATCCATTGCATTTGAATTGAGAAAAAAATGTCCATGAAAATTCGTTGGCGAATTGTTTTTCATTTCCACATTGATATGAAATGGATGAACACCTAATGACAAACATCAATTGACTATGTATCGTAAAATATAAATTAACTAAGAAATATCTTATGTGATGTGAGTCTGACTCGGTTCACAATTTGAAAGTCGAGAAAAACACTTTTTATGATCATCGTGATTAGAATCAGATTTTTTTTCTGTTCGTTTTACATGGTAAGTGTTCTTTGCGAAAAGAAGTCAAGTTCGAGCAGAGCGGCCCATTTCGAAGTTTGGTACTCACCGTACAAATTAACGTGCTGAACTGGAGGAAAATCACGAGTCCAAAATGTTAGTTTTCTCCATTCATTTGTGATATTGATTAATAGTGGTTGCCGATGTTCACCTAGACCATAGAGAAATGGACTGGAAAGGCGGCTAGAAAATTTGATGAATTGATTGGCATAGATGAGCGGTGATACACTGGAATCGAATCTAAAACAGCCATTCAAGAATGCAAAAAACCTTTCTAGTACTCATAAGAATGATTCTCGTCTTGAGCAGTTTTCGTGTCAAGAGACAAAATGAAATATCAGTCAAGAATGTACTCACAGTGTTACCCCAGTCGATTTCCTTTTGACAAGAATGGCAAATGGTACTTGACTGATGGAAACTTCGTAATCAGTGACATTAACTTTTGTTTTAATGACAGGTACTTGAAGTGGAACTTCGAAACGTTTCTTCGTTGAATCATAAATCCGTAGACGAAATCGTTGTGCTGTTTCGTAGAGAAGATCAACTGTCAAATTTAAAATTTCATTCGGCTTATAGATCGATTGTTGTTTCACAATTGTTAATCGTTGACCAAAATCAGTTGATTCATTCGTCTTTATTTGATATGTTGGAAAATCTCGTGGATAGTAACACCAAGGTACATTCACTTCAATAGAGTTAATCGAATGATTTTTGGGCGGTTGAGTCGTCAATGAAACCAGCGGGTTCCAGCAGCAGCGACGAGCCAGACATTTTTCTGGTGATATAAATGGTTCAGGATGACAATCGAAACGTGCCGTTTTCAAAGGTTGATCGCACTGTTGTGTAAATGTGGACTCGACAAAAAATAGCATCAGAATCCATTTCACCGCCGAGAAATGTGTCATTCAACGAGCACTTCTATCTAGAACAAACAAAACACCATCTGACAATAACCCTATGTGAGATTATTCAGATTGATTTTAAAAGCAATTTGATAAACAGACAGAATTGATTCTACAAAATAAAGTCACACACATAAATCATAATCCTTATAAATACGCTGTTAGCAGTCAGATTGATGTTGTTGAAGTCTTTTCTAAAATTCTTGGTTGTCTCATCGAACAACTGCTGGAATGGTAGTCGTCGATGAGAGAGATATAGAATACATATTACCTAGTGATTCCTACTAGATTCAAACAAGAAAGTAGACTTGATGAGCACACACCTTCGGAATTAAGAACTGGTTCTTCACCATCTAAGTATCTTACATTTGGTTTGACGATTTTGAGTGATAAAAATCAGTATTTTCTTTCGATTGATAAACATTTAAAATGTGCTGTAAAGAAATAAACCAAGATGAATCAAAGTAATAAGGACAGCTGATAACATGTCCCTGTGCACATGGTGTAATATTTGTCTTTCGAGATAACAGGGCACAGTATTAAACATAAAGAGTGGTAGTTCTACAAGACAATTATCGTTTTACAGATTTTATAAGTTCTTCGACACAACTATTAGCAAAATATATCATTGAAAAAAATTTGGAACTTGAGGAAATTCAACTGCCCAATTAGACAAACCATAAAAAAATGCATAAAAAATTTAACAAAAATAAAATCGTAAAAAGGCATATTTTAAGACATTTACAACATATTGAAGTTTTCAAACCGATTTATACGCATTTTTATACGTTTGACTTTTATATCAGATAGTACCTTAGAACTAGAGCCAAAAATTTCATACCTCTATATTACTTGAGTGTTAGTCCCTATGACTTCCCAACTTTTTGAGTTTTTCTGTCGTGTTGTCCAAGGGTATGGGTGTGTGGCTGGGTTATTGCTGGGCGGGTGTGGGTGGGTGTGTGGGTGTGGGTGAGGGTGAGGGTGTTAATGAAAGGATAACCCACACCCACACCCACACCCATATAGAAATTTTCGGATTCTAAGTTAGGGGACTCTATTCTTGCCAGAGTACAATTTATGCTTGTATTCACGCAGTCCTCTAGCTTCATGTGTTTCTATTCTTGTCTTCACTTTTTTATTTATTTAATTTAATTTAATTCTTTTTTTTACATTCGTTGATAAAACTTTAGTTGTTTCTTTAGCTAATGTATAATCAGCTTATTGTAAAGATAAAAATAGAATATTAAAAAAAATATCTGAAGATATTTTACTTGTTACTACGAAGAATAACGATTTCATATGGTAAAAATGAATCGAATTTTTCTTTTGTTAATACAAACATATTCATTTAAAAGATAAATATCTGATACTTCCATGATGATGAACAACTACTATATGAGAAATAGTTATATCAATTCTGACGATAATTAAATAAGCACCGATATAATCTTGATATCTAATAGAAATATTTAGAATTTAAATCAATTATTTCGTTTAAGTAAATGTATATGGGTGAATGTCATAGTGCTAGTCTTATTTATAGACAAAACTTTAGATAGAAAATCTGTGGTTTTGCCCTTTTTTGTCGTAGGTTGTTGAAGATTCAAATCTTAGTAAAACAAAAGCTCAACTTCCAATGCTATTCAGTAAACAAAAATGAATGAAAAATGCTATTTTTCGTTATTGGTCATTTTCATTATAGTTTCCAATGATTTATCAAAATTGGGCAATGGACAAGCATTTTATATTCATTGTAACAAAAGTATGGAGAATTCTTGAGTCTGATGTTATTTTGTGCTTGCTTAATTAGTATATACGAGAAACTTATCATAGCATATGATTCATGAACTTAAAATGTTGACAATCGAAAATGTTTTTCAATAATTCTTGTTATGTTCTATTCACTCCAAAAATCTATCTGTTATCTAGTCTAGAGTTGTAACAACTAGGATTTTTCCTTACTAGTGCTCATAGGGATCTAAATGATTAGATTGATCGGTAGCTCTCTATGAAAGTTATTCTTCTCTTATTTCATCCTATAATCATCAAATGGAACTCTTGAATAGCTATATATGTATCTGTTAATCATTACCGTAATGATGTAAGATTACTGTTTGAAGATTGTAGAACATTTCATTATTAACTTATTACATGGATTTAATAATCATTAAACATTAGTACACATAATTAATCCATATTAAGAAGATTATGATGAATTTTACTTAATATAATAAGCTGATGTATGTTTCATCACTTTCAAATGGAACCAAAACTGACTTGCGAATAAATATTTAGAAAGCTTTTGTCATAACTCAAACGATTAGTGTTTAAACTTCTATACTCTTTCCAATCACGAAATGATATCTGACGGTGTGTATGGATATGCACGTGAAAAGATGAACTTAAACCGCGATAACATCCTTAGCCACACCCAAGCTCTCTATTCTCAAGAAACTTTTCGCAATTTAAAAAATATCTCTTACAATTATTAGTTTAAGTAAACAGTAGAAAAAAATCGCCGAGTTTTATCACGAATATTAGGCTTTTGAGGTAATATATTTAAAAAAAAATTATATAATAGAAATATGAATCATTCGTATAAAGAATAGATAATAGCAAGGTAAGATTCATGTATTTCATTGATTAATCGTATTTCAATGGGAAACTTCCAATGTGTCATACACATGCACTGATAAGCTATGCAAACGTCATTTTAATAATAACATAATAAAGGGGAAAAACAAGGTGAATTAGATAATTGAGTGGATGATTATTAAATGGGAAACTTGCTACCTATGAATTATTAGTAATACATCTGGATTATTCTTCAACCATAGTGCTTGAATAGGTATAAATATCATTGTTGCATTGCTGTAGATTTATTTTCAGGTAGCACTACCTAATCAAATAAACAGGCAACGTTAAGTGACAAATATCGTATACATAACTCAATCGACGATAAACAATCATGTACAAACAAATCTTTATGTCCTTCTTTATCGTTTTCTTGACATTTATGTTCACCAATGGTGTACCATTGATAGATATTGATGAGGAAGACAATATCAAGTCAAATACTTTAGTTCTTCGTAATGATCCTGATTCGAATCAATTCTTTGAAAGAGTCGATGCAACTCGTCAAGATAATGAAGATTTGCCTAAACGCTTGAATAAACGGGCAGACTTCACCTCAGCTCAACGTCAATTTCAGAATGAAATGTTAGCAGCACATAATTCCTATCGTGCTCGTCACTGTGCTCAACCTCTTCAACTTGATGATACACTTAGTCGTCCAGCTCAAGACTATGCTCAAAAACTTGCTAGTACGAATCAATTTTCTCATAGTGGAACTAAAGGTGTTGGTGAAAATCTGTACATGGCATGGAGTTCAGCTACTAGCAAAATAAATGGTAAGTCATCTTCAAATTATCAGATATATTCATCATATTTATGGCTATTTTAATATTGCAGGAGCTACAGCAGTGACTTCTTGGTACAATGAAATTAAAGACTACAATTTCAATA